GGCTGAGGCAAGAGGACTGCAACTTTGAGGCCAACCTGGGTAACTTCTCAAGACCCTGTTAATCAATCAATTAATCAATCAATCAATAAATAAATAGGACTGGGGCTATCACTCAATAGTAGAATCCCCCTCAGGTTCACCCCTCAGTATTGGAAAAGGAAATTTAACAGTTTTGCAACTTCGAGCTCAAAGGCCTGAGGCCCAAATAAATCAGAAAGTTTGTACTATGACTTTAAATGTGGACATGGAAGGGTTTCAAAGGGATCCCAAGGTACACAAAAATTCAATCATTTTATTCCTAGTACAGGAAGATATGATAAAAAGGCCTTTTTTTTATTCTATTGTGTTTTGTCTCCCACACAAAGCTGGGGCATAATCTGTCAAAGTTGGGTGCTTAGCATTTATATTATCTTAGTATCTGCTGGGTGTTGAGGAAGTCATGCAAGAATCTATGTGATATCAAACTTCCAAGAGATCCAAGATACTGTCAGTACCTTGACAGTGTGCTGGTCAATGACAAATGCCACAAGATGTCAAGAGCCCCAAGACCATAAGAAAGCAAATTACCAAGAGTGACAGTCCAGATGAAAAACAAGACATAGAGAGTGAAAGTCATTAATATACTTGTTCCCTCCATCTCTGCTGGTAACATTGTCTAGGTTACATTTCTCTTACTGCTGAGACAAAATACCTGACACCCAAAATTAAGGAAGGAAAAGTTTATTTAGCTTACAGTTTATGGAGGTTTCAGTCCACACTGGGCTGGTTCCAAGGCAGAATGGCACATGGAAGCGGGTAAGCGTTCATGGCAGCAGAACACAGCAAAGCAACAAGAACAAAAGAGAGGAATGGAGGCAAGCGCCCTCTTCCTCTCCTTTACATATACAAACTATTGGCCCCAGGGCAGTGTAGCACTCATGTCCATAATCAATCAAACTCTAAAGCCCACCCCATGACCACATGAGGCTTTGAGGGGACACCCAGAACCAACCATAACAAACATGCTTGCTCTTTATAATTTATATGGGATATAACAGTGACTGGGAGCTTTTAAAAGATATAACAACTGGAGGGAGAGGGGATTAATGAAGGTGGACCCCAAAAACCTTTCTGCTTGTCCTTAGAACTTAGTCTGTCCCTAGTATATGGCAGGCAACAAGAGATCTCAGTATTCTAAACTCTGCTTGAGCCACACTGTCTGTTTTTCTACATTTTTCTGTAAACCCAGGAAGGCCACTTCTATGGAGAGGGAACCCAGTATCCACAACTTAACAGTTCTAATGACAGAAGAGTGGGGAAAGATACAGTCATGAAATTTAATAACAGTCATTTCCGACTTGACTATTTAATAATATGGCTAACTCTGTACTGGGCAAGGCAAGCCTGCCTGTCAGAAGGAGCAGTAGTTTCAGCATGGCAGAGTAACAGCCACAGACGCCAACTAGAGCAACAATCCACAGACCTTTGGATTGCCCACAAACAGAACAAAATATACAAGTTCACAAAGTTCTCTTCATTTTAGAATCTAATGGGTAAGTGGTTTAAAAAAAAAAAACAGAACACATTATGGGAAAAGAAAATGAGAACCTAGACCATAAAGACATTTAGTTTTTGAGAAACTATCCAGGTAAATGTTTTAGTCTGAATTCTAATAATTTCAAAACCTAAAGATCTCCCTTCAGCTAGAAAGTGACTCTTTAAATTTATATATTTAGAAAAGTAAATGTGATGATACATGCCTAAGTTACATGATTCATTTAAATATCATATTTTATGTAAATACAAAAAATGTTGAACCATATAGGTAGTTCCCCCAAAATTAAAAGAATTCTCTATGATCCTGCAATTCCACTTCTAGCTATGCATCTAAAAGAACTAAAAGCAGGAACTTAACAGTGTATTTTATACCAATGTTTACAGCAGTGCTGGTCACAAGAGCCAAAAGATGACAATAATGCAAATGCAGACCCACTAATGAAAAGGACAAGCAAAATGTGCTCTATACTACAATGGCACATAAGTCAACCTTTACAATGAAGGAATGGGGCTGGGGATTTAGCTCAGCGGCCCAGCACCTGCCTGGCAAGCACAAGGTCATGAGTTCAATTCCTAGTACCGGAGGGGGGAAAATAAAATAAAATAAAATGAAGGAATGTTGGCACATGCTACAATATAAATGACCTCTGAAGTTCTTACCTAAATGAAATAGACCAGACACAAAAGGACAAATACTTTATGATTCCACTTATAGGAAATACCTGGATGTTATGGTTGACCACTGTATCAACTTGAGTCTAGAAGCCTAACTAAGTAACTCAGCAGTTCTTCATCCTGGGGTGAAAAGGACGTGCCCTTTCTTCTCTAGGATGTTGTTCACTGTGTCAACTTGAGAAGTTTAAAAGTTCAACAAAGTGATTCAGCAGGGGCCAGGGTCCTTACTTTGCACTCATCCTGAGCCTGTGCAGCAAGTGGGCACAGAGACTGCGTGGGCGGGTAGCAGGTATAGGATATAAGAGAGGAAAAAAGGCTTGCTTCCCCCCTTTTTTGCTCTTGTTGCTTTTCCTTGTCTTCTGCCTGCACTGCTGCCCCTGTGCCATTCCACCCTGCCTCAGATTCAGCTGATTATGGACTGAAACCTCCACAAACTGTAAGTTACATAAACCTTTCCTCCCTTCATTTTGGGCATCAGGTATTTTGTCTCAGCAATGACAGAAAAGTAACCAAGACACTGGATTCGTCAAATTCATAGACAGAAAAGAGAACTGCAGTTACTAGGGGCTGGAAAGAGGAAAGAACAGAGTTCCAGTTTAAGAAAAGTAAAAGTATTCTGGTGATAGATGGTGGTGATGGTTGCATAACAATATGAATGTACTTAATGCAACCAAATTGCACACTTAATAATGGTTAAAATCATACCTTTTTATATCTCAACACAATTAAAAATACTAATAATAATCAACACCGAAGTGGAAACACAGAGTCTTACTCAGGCTATGAGAAGGAAATGAGATCCTGGACATTAAACCAATTTCCCTTGAGAGCTATATATATGTACCTTTCTTCAGATTTTCAGAATTCCTATGATTCTTAGACTAATGAAATGAGAAAAACAAATATTAAAACAAAGTTAACAGTTTTATTAAACTACTTTCCCCAGCATATGCCAAATAATAAAGAACAGTATAATTACACTCATGCTCTGCACACATTAAATCTTCAAATAAATGTCAGCTGACATAATATAAGGGCTTAAAAATTGGTGACCAACTACCCAACATGGTTCTCACAAATCTAATCATGTTAAACATGAACAACAGAATAACTTCTTGGAGCCTGCTTGAAACAGAAAATAAAATGAACAAATCTGAAGCAGACTATATTATATTTTTTAAGAAAGAGAGAAAGGGAGGCATCAATGTCTCAAACAATTAATACTTTAAGGTTAAATATAATTATCAGGGACTCATACGCAGGGAAGTGTTACGTCAGTTTCTGTTATTATAATTTAAAAACAATACCCCCAACTATCACACAGAGGGCTTTTAAAGTTAAGAGACGAACAATTCAGACTACACAAATATGTGAAACATCAGAAATAATAAAAAGATATTAAACAAAGCCAACAGGCAAGTATACTGAAAATATATGCCATATTTCCCACATTCAACGAGTTAATATCCTTACAGAAACAACTACTAATCAGTAAGAAAAGGCAAAACTTGATAAACAATGGACAAATTATATGAAGAGTGTTCCCCTCAGTCTTCACAACATTTTGTCCTGGACCTGGGCCTTCCACATAAAAGCTGTTGGGAAACACCACTCTCAAAATTATACCCACACACCTATAATGAAGTCGCCAGAGAGTAAAAACTACTTTCATATCTCTTTCATCTTAAGGGACTACAACACAATCTAAAAGACTGTCATGTATCTGGCAAGTAACCTGTATCTAAAATATATACAGAATTCTTGCACCCCCGCCATAATAAAAAATTGTAATTTTAAAATGGACAGTGGATCTGAATACACATTTTTCCAAAAAAGATACATAAATGGGCAATAAATATATGCAAGTCAGGATAAAGCAAATCAAAACCTCAATGACACATACTTCATATCCAAAAAAGGATGACTTAATTGAACCAAAAGACAGACTGTGACCAACTGTTGGCCAGGAATGAAAAAATGAGGATCCTACCATATGCTGGAGTGAATGTAAAATGATACAACTACTATGAAGAAGTCTAGAAATTCCTCAAAATGTTAAACACAGTTATCACATGACCCAGCAATTTCACCTCTAGCCACATAACCAAGAGAAATGAAAACATGATGTCCAAACAAAAACTTGTACACGAATGTTCATAGCATTGTTTGTAAGAGCCAAAAGCTGGAAACAACCCAAAACTCCACCACTGACCAATAGTCTATCCCTACGTGAAATATCTTCCAGTAATAAAACGAAAAAAAGCACTGATACAATGGATAAACATGACTGTTAGGTGGAAAAAGCCAGTTGAAAAAGATCATGTATTGCATGGTTCCATCTACATGAACTACCCAGATCAGGCAAATTATATAATAGTACACACATACATACTACATTATACACAGTGCTTAGGGCTTAGGATGGGGAGTACGGGTAGGAAAATCAGAAGACTGACAAAATTGGTATAAGGTTTCCTTTTGGGGATGATGAAAGTGTTCTAAAATTGTGATGATGGTTGTACTAACGATAAGCGGTTTTATGAATGCACTAAAGCTTACTGTGCAATTCTAAATGTGTGAATTCTACGCAGTATGTGACCAGTATGTCGCTAACGCGGGTATTTTTAAAGCACTATAAAATTACTTGAAATTACACAGAGCACTCAAATAGACACTTATAAATATATATACATATATATACAGACACACACACACACGCATCGCTTCCTACACTGACAAACGCCTGTGCAGTCAGCTCTGGCTGGGTGTCCCATTCCTCCAGTACTAACCCACTGGGCGTGAACATTCATTCCTGCAAACACGAGGCCGTGACCCTGCAAGGTGCGGGCCACCGTCGGTCCGCGCGCGTTAGGCTCGCTGCCGGAAAGGGACTTCTCTGAAGGACTCCCCGGGTCAGAAGCCCTCGCGAACGCGGCCACCGAACTGCTGGAACAAGGTTTTAGGGCGAGAGAGACCGAAAGTACCGCTGTCGGGGAGCTCTAACCTGTGCGCTATGGGTGGGCGAAGTCGCGGAGAACGCGAGGACTGCGGCCCGGGAAAAATTAGTGGCATACGCCGCACGCCTGCGGGAACACTCGAGACTTCCGGCGTCGCCCGCTCGCGGAGCTAGAGCGTCGACCCGTCGACCCTCGGGCTGTCGGGACGGACTTCCGGGTCTCAAAACCAGCCGGGATCTTTGGACCCGCTGGTGTGGGACTGAGGTTGCCTAGGTTCCGTGGCTGTGGCTTCTCAGAATTACCTGGGGGAAGCGTTTGCCTCCTCCAGCCCCTGCCTTTTTTTCCCTCTACCGTCGCACTTTAAATCCCGCTGAAACTATATCATTTATAAGTTTGTTATGAGGATGTAAATAGTGTCTGGCACTATGTATGTGCTCAATAAATGTTAGCTGTTATTTTCATCTTGATCATTCTGCTGTCATCAACACTGTTATCGTCATCACTCACGGTTTAAAGGTCAGGCTTTAATCCAAGTACCTTTCCTCCAGTGAGTAGTGAGTAATCATGCTTAGCCTAAAGCAGTGGTCTTAGAATTCTTGATCTCGTATTTTTCTCAGGGGGGAAAAGACTACATGTCTCTGCTATCTTGGTATTGGTGTATTATACATACTCTAAAACTTTGACAAGAAGTTCTTTTCTCATCACACAATTCGGTTGCCATACATACATTCCATCACTTCGGAGTCCACTGGCTAAATGAGCACATTATCAGAAAGACCTACTATTAAACTCTGAATCCTCAGAATGGATTGGTTTTGTTGTGGTGGTGGGTTTTTTGTTTGTTTGTTTGTTTTGCTTTTTTGTGGAACTGGGGATTGAACCCAGGGAGTGATGAACCCAGGCCTTTTTATTTTTTAAGTCTGAGAAATTTGCTAAATTGTCCAGGCTGACCTTAATTTAGGATTGCCCTGCCTCAGCCTTCCTCCTGACAGATTTGTGCCACCAAGGCAGGCAGAATGATTCTTATATGAAGGAAGAAATAATAGAAACTAATCAGAGTTTGATGTACTTGAAATATTGGGACTCACTGAACATTTCTCACCTGAAAGGAAATGAAGAAGTGGGCATCCAATAAAGAAAATGTGATATTTATGTGCAATGGAGTATTACTCTGCAATAAAGACAGATAAACTTGAGTCATTTGTAGGAAAATGGGTGCCCCTTGAGACCATAATCTTAAGTGAAATAAATCTGACACACAAGTTTAAATATTGCATTCTCTTGTGTGAGAAATGTAAATAAGGAGCAGAATGGAGGATAGATGCTGGGAAGTAGGAAGAATATGTTTAAATGGGAAGGGAAACAAGAGGAGAAAGGGAAAAAGAAAGAGAATGGAAGGAAAAAATGGAAACAAACTTCTGTACATGGGCAGAGGAAGAAAAGTAAAGGGAGGGGAGTGAATGGGAAAGAAAGAATTACGATATATTATGTACAGGTACAAATTCCCTATGATGAATGTGACCAATATGTATGGCAAATATGTACTAATAAAAAATAAAGTTAGAAAAAGAAATAGCTATCCATATCAAAACTAAATAATAAGAAAATAGGCAGACATTGACCGATGTCTACTTCTCTAGCATTGACTGTTGACTGCTTAATGTTTTAGAGAGATAAAGGCTGCAATGTGTTGTATAGATGTGATTTTTTTTTTGTAGAAAATGTTTAATTGATTACCATTGGAAGTCACAAAAAGAAAATACTGCAGTCCCATATCTATAAATACACATGTATTTATATATAATATACATTATATATAATATACAAGCATGTACAAATCCAAGAATTGAGACCTCTGTTTTAATCTCATTTTTCTTTTGCATATTTAGTACCTTTGCTTCTCAGTTAAAGAAACATCTTGGTCAATCCTTCTAAGTCAGAGCTTAATGGTATGTTACAGGCTTTCACCCCCAGAGACAATGAATAGTGTATCAAACTCTAATAGTGTTCTTAGCATATTCCACGTGTAGTGTTTCACTTATGTTGGTGTGCAAAATCAGACAATTGATTATGTTCTCTTTTTTTTTGGCAGACTTTAACTATTTTTTCATAGTTTTAATAGCCATAACTAACATAAGCTTCACCTTCTGTATCAGTATAACCAAAATGCATATTTTCTTTCCTTTCTTAGATGTTTTCATGTTTTGAATAGTCTTTAAAATTCAGTCACCTGGTTGCACATCAGTTCTGTAAGCTCTGAGATTTCCAAAATCCCAAATTACTTTCTTATGCAAAATGGCAATGCAAATAGCAGTCTTGTAAAATGTGAAATGCGTTTTATTCTGTATAGCTCCTTTTACAAAACTGGACAAGTACACATACAAACATACACACAAATACATAAGTGTAGAAGGTCTGAAAAAACACTCTAGCTCCTTAACTCCACTTTTGAACAAAAAGCCTTAGGCAAATGTACAGTATGCAGAGAACTGAATAAATGCCTTTATTTGATACACTGGAAAAGCTCCTCCTTCCATGGAGGGAAATGTAGTTGCTATAGGAGAAACTTGAAGTGTTTTCCGTGTAATTCTCTTTTCACATGAATACCTGGTAAGCCAGGCTTCTGGCATGTCTGATGTATGGTGGCAAACTGCTACTTCCACCTCCAGCCCCAATCCCAGGGCTGTTATAGTTGAATGGGCCCAAATAGTCTAGGTTCTTGTGCAGGACAAAGAAAGAACCGCCAAGCACACACGTCATAGTAAGTAGTAAATAACTGTCTTTATTGAACATTACGGGACAGTAGCTGCAGGAACAGACAGAAGAGAAAAAGGAAAGAGCATGAGGAACCCCCGAGAACACAGGCTTCCAGTATTTAAAGGGTCAGACACATCTGACTCCAGGTGCTTCCCGTTGTGGTCAGACACCTGTGACTCCTGGTGCCTGTCTGTCACTGGTGTCAATGATATGCCACCTCATGCATTATGACCTCCTAAATTTAAACAGCATGCTTTCACTTGTAGCTCAAGGATGGGTGACATGCAATGTTGGATGACACAGACCTTTTCGATGTTGTATTTTTTTTTTTTTTTTTGTCTTTTTTTGAGACAAGTTCTCGCTATGCATTCCAGGCTAGCCTTGAGCTCATTTTATAGCCCAGGCTGGCCTCAAACTTGCAAAGATCCTCCTGCCTCAGCCTCCCACATGCTGGGATTACAGGTGTGTGCCACCACATCCAGCTTTGTTAAGTGTTTTAGAGGAGCCTCCTGGGACCCTTTTTTTTTTTGTCTGTCTTTTTGAGACAGGGTCTTGCTGTTCAGGTTGGCCCTGAGCTCACTTTGTAACCCAGGCTGGCCTCGAACTCACAATGATCCTCCTGCCTCAGCCTCCCTAGTGCTGCAACTAGTTTCCCTTTTCTTTTTTTTTTTTTTTTTTCCGGGTACCGGGAATCGAACTCACGACCTCGTGCTTGCCAGGCACACCCTGTGCCGCTGAGCTAAATCCCTAGCCCCCTTGCCTTTTCTTATACTGACTGCTTCTTAGGTTTATTGCAAGATAAAAGTGCTTAAGGTTTTGTGTTTTTTTTGTTGTTGTTGTTGTTGTTTTTGGTACTGAGAATCGAACTCAGGACCTTGTGCTTTGCCAGGCAGGCACTTATGCAACTGAGCCATATCCCCGGCCCTTGGGACCCTTGATGAGGCCACTATAGGGCTTCTAAGTGCAGTTGGTGACTTCTTTGCTTAAAAGAACTATAAATTCACAAGAAATGCTTATTCCTCTTCTGTCATAATTTTTTTCTTCTGTATGAACTTTCAAATACATGGTATCTTCATTATTCTCTTCTGCTGTTAATGTTTGAGCCCCCATATGACTGGGACCACGGAAAGAGACAATCTTTTCCCCTCATCCATAAAAATTCCAGAGCTATGACACCAGGATAAGATAATGATCAACCAGACCCAGCGCCCCGCCCCTGCTAATCCTTGAAAGCTGGTCTCCGCCCGTATCACAGTGTGCCCCCTCCACCCACCCAAACTGGAATCCTTTCCTGGCTTCCCTCTAGCTTTTCAATTAAAGCTTCTTTCTGTAAATTTGTGCTTTAGTTTGAATTTCCATTTCTATGAAAACAAGGGCCCACTTGACACAGACATTGTGATATATATTTGTACTCTTGAGGAGAAGCAGGAGGTCTTCTGGCTCTACACATTCTTGGAAGTCTCTAGTCCACTCTGCTCCATTTCTTTCACCAGGAGAAAATTTCAGTTTGTCAGGGTTTTTTGTTTTTTGTTTGTGCTAAGGATCAAACCCTGTATTTTTTAATTTGTAGATGGCTTTACAAGGCAGTAATTATTTATATTTTCGAAAAGAAAAAGATTAACATTTGGAAGTTCTCCCCATAAGAGAAGGGGCATATTAGAAGGAACAGGGCTGTCTTCTACACAGATGGCAAGTCAGGTATGACTGAGCAATCTGGGCTTTAATTTTTTTCACACAGCATTTAATAATAAATTCTCCATTTTTCTTCTTTTGTTCTGTGTGTGGTTTTTTTTTCTATCTTTTTGAGACAGGATCTCCCTATGCAGTTCAAACTGGCCTTGAGCTCACTTTGTACCTCAGGCTGGTCTTGAACTCACAACCATCCTCCTGCCTCAGCCTCCCGTGTGCTGGGATTACAAGTGTGCGTCACCATTGTAGTTTTTTTTTTTAGAAGGAGGAGGAGGCAAGGGAAGAAAAATAAAACCAGACAAAAATGCCAAAAATCATTTTCCAGTTCTGTTAAATTATGTGAATTCTGGATGAGTGTTTTTTCCAGTTTTCAGCACCAATAAAGATTTTTGCAAAAGCCATGACCATCAAAACACTCATCTTCCAGATAGAATCACCCCCTTCCCCTTTGCCTTCACTCACTGTTTGTAAAATAAAAGGGTGTATCCTGCCCTTGGGAGCAGGAAGCGCTAACAGAGAGCTCTTCCGATACTTCTTTTACAGTTGAACCGGCCAAAATTAGTCCAGGTTCTTGTGCATAACAAAGAAAGAACTG